CTTACACCACCACAGATTGCGCGTCACGTCACGCTATCGGCAAGCAGGTATGTATGGTCACACAGATATGCATGGTCACACAGATGTTTATGGTCACACAGATATGTATGGTCACACAGATATACACTTCCTGGCCACATGCCCGGGAAAAATAAAGAGCTAATGAGGCGGGCATGCGTTGGCTGTAGATGTGGTGTATACGTATTTGGCCCAATCGTCGGGGGTGCGTGTGTACGCACGTCCTGTACGATTTGTACGTGTACGGTGTACGGTGTACGCCCAAATGCTTGCCACGCGCGAAGCTGCATGTCTGTGTGGGTGTGGCGCAGTGGTTAGCGCGTAGGTCTCATAGCTGTTATCGTGCTGTGACTTGGACTATCCTAAGGTCGAGTGTTCGACACCCTCCACCCACAACCGCTCGTGTAGCTCAGTGGAAGAGCACCCGTTTAGTAAGCGGGAGGTCTCGAGATCAAAACTCGACATGAGCAGCACATCGCTCTTGCGCGGGACATATCCGCTCTGGCTTTTCCATAACATGATCCATCCTGGTGTGTACGTGTGCGTGTATGTATGTGTGTGTACGTGTACACGTTGGTGCATGTGTACATGGGGTATTTGGTCGTAGCTAGCCAGAACATGCATGCCGGGACAGCACAGCAGCAACACGAAGGCGGCAGCATGGAATTATTCATCCCTTGCTTGTGCCTGTTGCTGGTCCCTGCCGTTGGACACGTACTCGTAATGCACGAAATGCTGCAGTCAGCCGTGTATAGCCTTTTCTAGGCGTTTAGGGTTTCAAGGACCCTAAAAACCCTAGAAACACTAGCTATCACCGCAAAAAGCAGCTATTCAACGACTAGCATCGGTTGAGTAGATCGGTGAGGTTTTGGTTGTTGGCTGTGACCATGGATGGCACTCGTGCATGCAGGATCTGCATTTTCTGAGAGACACAGCGCGACGAACACTACAAATATGTAGCACATGTAGCCGACAGGGGAACGGTTGCCTCCACCTAAACCAGAGCCTAACAGGACACGTACATAACCAAATACATGCACGCAGCAAGCAGCCAATCACAACCGCATTGACGTGCCAATATCCAAGACTGCTGCCAGGTGCAACGTGAAGCGACCGACTAGTGGCCAGTGAGATGCAAGTGGGTGCCGACATC